ATGGATGGATGGATGGATGGATGGATGGATGGATGGATGGATGGATGCATGTTTATATAATTTTCTGAGCTTTGAATAACTAAAACGTGCACAATAGGACACAATTTAGTTTATGATCTTTTGCAACACTTTCTGATTGAAACACACTCTGAAATTAAATATGTATAAAGCATGCAAAACTATTGGATATGTAATTTGTGATGTATACAATAAATGTACAAAAACGTTCATTTTAACCTGGATACAATGTTTAAGCTATGAGTTGTTTAAGATAGCAACAATTTGATTTTAAACGCGCTGCCTTCTGAGCTAAAGCTTGACATTTCAATGGTAATTTCTCTAAACTGAGATCAATCTGACTGCTGTCTACTGCAGATAAAATACTGACTACCTAAAAATACTCCGCACAACCTCAGTTCAAAACTTATCAAACTATCCCTTTTAAAAAAGAATAATTAAAATGGGTTAAACAAGAAAGGGATATCACAAATTAATTTTGTCTTAGTTATTTTCCATCACTATGAAGGAGGGAGAAAAGCAGTGAATGTGAAGTTGCAATGTGCTTTTGGTAGCAATGTCACCAAATGAAGAAGATGTTTATATTGTCTCGTCACCAGGTGGCACATTGTCAACTAAATGCATTGTGAAGGCATGCCTGCTACATCATTCATTACTTTGTAACTGTTAGTAAAAAAATAAAAATAAAAAAGTTCTCCAGACTAATAGAAAACAAACACAAACAATTTTTTTAATTGCCTGAAGACTGTTTATAGGTGACTTAACTGCTATCTGCTTGTATTATAAATAATAATTTTATAACGGATCCAAGAAGCAACATTTCTTGAAGGGTAAATGACATTAGCTGTCATCTCAATATGTAATGTTGCTTTGAGAATCCTAGCTGGTTTATGTCTTTCTCTCATCTGGTTGATGTAACAGATGACACAGCTAATGACAAAAGTAAAGATTCTTGTTAAGTGTCAAATGTGTTAATGTTTGGACGACCGTCGATTTCGGCTGATGTGATTATTATGTCATAAACATTAGCTCTTTTTATATAATGGAAACAATATAGACATCCCTTGTTTTATTGCAGCATAGAAAACGACTATTACTACTACTTTCTTTTTGACTGTTCCTCTTTTGTTAAAATGTTGGTTTTGTATAACATTCATGCTTGTCTGGATATGGATCATAGACAAAAAGGATCATTTGCATTTTATAATTAGTATCACTGTCGTGTTTCTGCCTCTGTCATTCTGCCACGCCCACTCTTCACCTGCAGCTCAGTCAGCACTCATGCCCTGCACTTGCTACCCACTCTATAGTCACTCAAGATCTCTGCCAGATTATTGAACCCTTTGTGGTATTAAATGCCCAGCACTTCACTCACGTTCATGCCCATTTCTCTTGTCTTGACCTCACGCCTGTCTCTTGGATTCACTGCTCTGCCTGCCCCACGTCTGGTTTTGTTCTACCTTTCTGACCCTGGACTACCCTTTTCCTCTAAGGATATCTGATTAAGAATCGCCTTCTGGATTTGTTCTTGGACCTCTGACTTCTCGTGCTTGACCCCTGCTTCACTTTCCGGAACACGACCTAAGATTGCCCCGCTGTCTGTACTATTCACAACATTAAAGGCCTCTCTTTGCAGCTGCCGTCCCACCAGTTACAGTGACGTCATATCGTCGAGTTCCGACTGGTGGCTCCCACCTCACCTGCTTGAAAAGACGTTCCCACGAATGGACCCAGACTACAAAAGCAGCTGCAAAACAATAAATTGTTTTATCATTCTTGTTGTCTGGCTGAATTGTTGAATCCAAAAAACAGGTTCTTGCCAGTATAATCTGTCCCCTTGTCACTTACTATACAAAACTGAATAGTTATGGATTCTAATCACTAACATTAATTTCATTTAAATTATGCTGCTGTGTAATTGCACTCATACACACACCCTTTTGCTCCTTTCACATGTGCATGTGTGTGTGTGGTCAGGAAATGAATGTGAGATATTTCCAGAGTTCATAACAACTCTTTCAGAGATCTAATACTGCCTTTGGAGAACGAGCAGCAGCCTAACAGTCGACCAGTGTTGCATCATGTTCCATGCATATTCATAAATCTCTCTGTGCTCCTCATACAGATGGTACTGAAGTTGGTGGACATCAAGAGTCCAAAATAAGTCACTTTTTTTTTAGATTATCGTCATTATATTCACGCATGTTTGTTTATCATGATCTTGTAATTCAAAGCTTTATTTGTTTTGGATTTAGATTAGCTAAGTTGTTCACCATTAGACATGAATACATTTTCATGTCATATTGCACAGCGGTAAGAAGAGATTAACCTCTCTCACACCTCAGTCTTTTCTTTGCCAGAAAGTCAAAGAGCAGAAACAGTTTTTCTCTGTATGGATGTGTGAGAGTGCACTTATTGTGTCTAGATGTCTGCATACATTACTTTGTTTATCAAAGCACATATATCTGCTATTTGTCTTATGTTCTATGTTAACATTCATATGTTTGTGAGCCTAACATTTTCCTTCAAGTCATCAAGATGTTTGGATCATACTGTATCTTTCAGCGTATAAGTTGCTCCGGAGTATAAGTTGCATCAGTCAAAAGAAAACCTTGTGAAGAGGGAAAAATGTATTAATACAATAAGTGCACTCTCACACATCCATACAGAGAAAAACTGTTTCTG